TGTGATTGTGCTCTTTCGCCAGACCTTCCATCTGGTGAATCCAGAGGAAAATATTTGGTGTGCGCATCTGCGCCACGTAAGCATCTGAATATTTTTCCTGTACTTTCAAAATAACAGGAATAGAGTTAATTAGAGTGAACTTGAATGTTTGTTTTGATTGAATGTATCATGAAAATGTTTTCGAACCTCTAACTTGATCTTTACTGGGTTCGTTGGTCTTTGAAGAGGACGGTTATTGACGGCACAAGTATGGTCAAATTAAGTAAGCCATTGGCAACTTTACTAGAGCTTTCGGCCTGTAGATTGTTTGCAAATGTGCCAGTTCAGAAAATGAGATACGTTTCTGGCTCTTAGGAAAATCTCTTGCTGAAACAGTGAGCTGTGTTTCAGTTCACAACAACAGCAACTGAACAGCACTAACTTACTGTATTGCTGTGGTGGCGGAGTCTTAGTTTAATTGACCATATATGAGATGCTTTTCATCTTGAACGACGAGGAGTTTGTTTTCGATGGAAATGTGCGATACAGGCATTATACTAGTTTACGGATTTTCAGTGTGACATTAGGTTAACACGTTCAGATTTGTATTCGTTCATGAAATTCCAAGAACGGAGCTGCCTGGTACGAGCCCTTTGAGCACATAAACACTGAACGGCACAATAAAACACTCTGTACCACACTCAGGGTTACCTTCAGCGTTCATGCTCATTGAGATTGCTGTTATTCGTTTTTTTTGGAGCGAAATTGCCGAGGTTTTGTAGTGGTGTGGTCATCAAATCACTGAGAGCCAACTCAAACATGTCTTATATCTGTATGATATTGGTCACATCAGAATTTGGATGGAACGAAAACGGAAATTCACTACCTTTGTCTATCCAGTAGGATATTCCCACAGTCCTCATTGAACCACTTGCCATCCACAATCACCTAAAAGACATATCAACCAACTACGTTTTTCCTTTTTGCACCACTCGTAATGAGAACTTTTCGTTTACTGGTCTCCAATTTGACGACTTCCATCTAATCTCGACTAATACTGACTTGGCGGTAGTAAGTGAGAACAAATTAATTAAATATCCGTCATTTTCTGCTTCGTTGCAGCCATTAAATCGCCTGAACACCTTCAAAAGATGTTAAGCAAAACCAGCCGGTTGTTCCGGAAGTACACTGGACAATTCGAGAAGGGTTAGTACCCTGTGCAATTACACGAAAGTGGTAAGCAAGACAAAGGACTTAAGTGTGTTCTACGTCCCAGTACAACCAAGTCCGTTTTAAGCCAAAGATTTCGCGGAACGATTTTCCAAAAATGAGGTCTCTAGTCTTGTTTGTGAAAAGTGTTTTACACATCCGCCAACTTCACACAAGTTCGCGTAATTTGTTTGACTTCCGGCGCCGCAGGCTTCAAAATTGACCTACTATGAAAAGCTTTGTAATTGTCAACTTTTACTCAGCTAACTTCACAGAAAACTCAGTGGGTTTGTGCCATTATTAATTTACTTACGGAATATGCATAGATTTACTCCATATTCCCATGAATATTCACAGGACGTCAGAATATCCTGCTTGTATTTTCCCTAAAAATTTATTCAAACCTAGAGAGTAGGACATTGCATAGAAGGATGCTCCTATGAGTAGTGACAAAAGCTGCAACACTATGAATCCCTTCAGGTCTGTGTTTGTGGTTGTCTCAATATATTGTGGATCTTTCGGTCAGTTCACAGAAGCACTGTCGTGAAAATTTTTTGGTCTTCTGGGCTTAGTCTTTACCAGTTTTAATAGTATATTGCCAGAATAGCGAAACAACCCTTCTTGTATCTCTACCGGAGCTTGTAGTTTGTCTACTATGCATATGTTGTTCTAGTCCTGATTGCCGGATGTCTCTATGTGCATTGATTAGCATAAATGATAAAAACGCGGCAATATTTGGCAATGTGGCCAAATAGTGGATAATCTTGATACAAGCTGTCATCCCTAAAACCTTGAAGCCCCCTATGAGGTACTGTTTCTCACCAAGACGCACCATCCTCAAAGCGAGGATAGGACGTTCAAGCTGAAACCTTTTCTCTATGTTCTTCAACACCAATGCCAACTTTCCGTGACAGATATCATGCGATGAAAATCAACCTACCTTGTATGGTATGTCCGGAGGAATTGTCTTTCAATGATCTGCTTGCGCTTAAATATATTTATAATTTAGGCACCCACCGTCCTTCATAAAGCGTCGCAGCTAATCTCTTAAGTCCTCCGGAGAGATATAAACAGTCGTCCATCTCTGTCCACCGAGGAAGACCGTAAACGGCAGGTAGATTTTTCGACTTGAATTCTGTTCTGCACGTTGTGTCCACCCATGGTATCCTTTTCAAATTCCCCAGCATTCTAACCTGTAGTGCGACAAAGACAATGAATTGAAAAACGTTTACCTTGTCATGTTTATAATGACCATCGCGTGAGACACATCCATGGTAGTCAATATATTTTAAGATAAATCTGGCCAAATTAAAGCGGATATTGAAGTCCGTGTTATCGGCCATTCCCTAGGCTGCTCGGTCTTCAGACTGACACGAAATCACATTACGACTATCGACTTCGCGCTTTTCAGTCGACACCATTCGATAGTCTAACAAATTCGATAGGTTTTGATGAGAGTGGGAAGCCTCGGTTC